CCCATTTTTTGGCAGCACACTCTCCGGCTGAATGCAGGGAGGTACGGACCCTATACCCCTTTTTTTAAAATCAAAGTAATCTACAGAGCACAGGACCATCCAGATAAGAAAACAAGTGAATGTACCTTTATAAGAAGCCAGCGACCAGACCTAAACGTTCGGGGCCCATCATTACCGATTATGCAAATCACGTTAGTGCCTGGTTGCACGATCCGTGCCAGCTTAGAATCGTTTAAATGTATAACCGATGTTTGGCACGTGATGCACGATGCCTGTTTAATTGAAATCGTTTGCATGTGGAAGTGATACGTGACGCGTGATGCGGTGTACTTGAAATCGCTTGTATTTTGAATGATGCATGATGTGTGGTGTAATTTGCATGAAGTATTTTGTGTGTACCATTTATCGCGTAATTCAGCTCCTAGTTGGCTAACTATCGTAGTAAATGCTGGCTTGCTTCGCGTTGAATCTCCTGAATGCTGGTGGCTTGCAAAAACCGTGGCTCCCTGCTTTAAAAAGTGGCCTGAAAAATCGAGTAGGACCGGCAGGCAATTTAGAACTTTGGAATTGCTTGTGAAATATGCTTTGATAGAGGCAGGTAGTCAAATGTTAATGCATATTCCTCTCCTTTCCCCTGATTATTCTACGAGGACTAAGGCCAAAATTATTGCCTTAACTAGATGCATTATGGTCCTCGCAAATGCACTTTACAGCGTACGGAATATGTTAAGTATTAAATTGACCCCCTTGACCTGGTTTGACATAGCTGATTGAATTTAAATGAAGCAGAGTAGAAATTATGACTGCTGTTTGTGTAATCACCTTTATTTTGGTGACCAATGTTACACGGTAGGTAGTTCCAGATATCCTGCGATGCCGATGCCAGATATCCTGCGATTGCTTTGATATGTCTGGTAAATGGCCGCACAGCTAGCACAGCAGCACAGGTCTATTTGTTACTGACGTATGAGAAATGAGAAGGTAATTATAGTCTTCATGAGTCAGAATTAAGCTGTAGTCGGGCGCGCAGCCAGACCCTTTGCAAGGATGGAGGGCACAGGGTTCGCAAAAGCTCTTTGATAGTAAGAGACACCCCCCGCCCCTCGCCCCCCCAATCTCCGGAAATGGCTCACTTCTACTAAAGGCATGTATCGTTATTTTCCTCAACAGAATTGAAGCCAAAAACTGCTGCGAGCTCAATTCTACACGAACTTCATATTAACTGAATTAAAAAACTGATTTGAATACAATGAACATGTACCTGCATGCAAAAAATATGAAATATAAAAATACAAAATACCTGCATGAAATAAATTGCCGCCGCTCTTCATTTTACAATGATTCGGTGCGCTCTTACTAATCCGATAGAACTCAGAAGCTTTGTCAGAATTTTTGTTGGCTCCACAGTCACGTCAAGGACTCCATAAATGTAGAGTGTAGTTTGAAATTGTCAACACTTCGCTTGTCTGAAAATGTTCAGCACTCAATCCGAACCGATTAGCGAGGCAACTAACATAATGTAATTTTTGGACATGCGCGCCCGCCAATCCTAGCAACAAAAACCGTAACACTATTTGGCCTAGCGAAGAACGCTGAGCCATGGCCAGCGGGTGGACGAAAATGATGATGCTTCTGCAAGAAGAACTTTAAGCGCTTTAGCGCATCATATTTTTAATTGAGGTCGACCCGGCGTTTATTTAAGTTGTGCGATATTTCGATTGACGATGAGAATCAAATGGTCTACAGCACCGCAAAGAGGTGCTGGAATGTAGTGATGAAACGGGATGAGCAATAGTGAAATCGCTATTTTTCTTATTTCCGTAATTGTTAATTTGTCTAGGAAACGACCTCAAGGTTGTGATAAAAGATGTGCTCAACCTAATCTCAGTTTTGAAAGACATTCATGGCAATCATTCCGCGACGGTCGTCCTCGCGCGCACGGCACCTGCCGCCTGGTGTCACTTGCGGTAGTCACCGTCATTCGGTTTTAGGTAAGTTGCGATGCAAGCCATCGCTGTCCTTGCTCTTGGGGTTGCGATCGCGCAGGCTCAAACCCTTCGGTGTAATTTGTTTCACTTGTCGATTCTGGAAAAGAATGAACGTTTTCAGGCAAACATGGTACGGCCTTGTTCGTTTTTGAACTCGTGAGGACTCACTCTATTCAACAATAATCAGGCCCCTCATTTCTTTCTGGGCAAGGGGCCCACTTGAGTAGAACACTAGCGCACATCACTGCTCCCAGCAAGGGGCTGAAGGGCCATTCCATCCCACCACGGGGTGTCTTTCGGCTGCTGTTCTGGCGACATGGGGCGGGATCCCCTGGTCAACCAATGTGGTACGTTGTGTAATGGCAAAGGTCAACAGTGTCACCGTGGCACTACCTCAGTGCTGTACTGTGGCATGACATAATGGGCAATTATATGGTTTTTGTACTGCAATTCCTGCTGCTTTCATAATAAGTTTCATCATGAAAAGGTGGGCCGAGCGTGCATTCTGGTAGTAACTTCGCATCTGACATATCACTGGCCAAGACCGCATGATACAATGTACAAATCACTTTCAGCAAAGCACACAACCGATAAGTGACGTCACTTGTTCAGCCTGTTTTGGGATTCCACAAAACATAGGTGACAAAGACGCAAACACGTTTTCTGCTTCCAAAGCCACGCAACATGCTGCAACCATTAAGCTGCTTCACACAAAAACATTGTTCACACGAGTAATAGCACATGTATAACAAGAAAATATTGCGTGTAGTTAAATGACACCGGCATGTGCTATCCAAGAAACCAACAGCAATACTTTTTCACCTCTCTCAGCACCCAGCACCTTACGCAAGCTGCATTGGCTATGACATTGATGACTCACAAGCAATGCTTGTCTGCATTCATATTTGGTTAAGACAGTGGTATGCGCATCCATAATAAGACAGCACAATATTTTCAAAATTCTTAAAGGGAAGTCAATTTTGCAAGGTCGCATTAGGCGAATTCATGCCAGGCATGTCCACTAACGAGCCGCAGACCTGCCTTTATTGCCAAAATGAATTGCTAACTTAATGGCATGCAATTAATTACATGCTGTAATTCCTCAGTGGGTTCAAAATATTGGCAAGATCACAACAATGTAGCACATTGCCTTTGTATACCCCTGCAGCATAGATGCTAGTGTCTCTTTCAGTTTGCTGGCACCACTACCTCGTCATGTTCAAACGCAAACATAAAGATATAGACAGACATCGATATATCTCATTTATTAGGAATCAGTAAACTTAAAGAATACCAACACAATGTTCTCTCTCAGAAGTACAAACCTCGTACGCACACTCGCATCACACCAAGTGCAATACAAGTCACTGACATGCACCACACCTATTTCAACGACTGATTCAAAACTAATGCCAAATAAGTGTGATCCCACACTTGCACAACCCACGGGATTATCAAATGGCAGGTTTCCCCGGAAAAAATGCGTAGGTTTTCGGTTATAACACCGCCTGTCACCGTGAGCTCCCTTCAAGGAGTTTCAACGGAAGTTCATGGTCATACGACCGAAGAGGTTGTATTTGTTGGCACAAATTTGTTGGTCAAGATTTAGATTTATCGTACAGTGTGTGTGAAATATTTAGTAAAATATGTATCTAAAATTACAGCTTACCGTAATATTTCCCCAATTTTATAATACTTTGCTAACCCATGAGCCCATGCAAGGTTCTGTGCCCTGGTACACAAGGTGCTAATCGAGCTGTCTGTAACGAATGCGTCGGTAGAGGAAGAAAAGACGTCAGCAGCGAAAAAAAAGACAGATTTGCCGTCGCGTCTTCTTTTTTATAGCATTAGGGAGATGGCCCTTTATATATAGCATTAGGGATGGGAGATGGGCGTCTGTTTCGGTGGGCCGCCCGGGCCCTTCTTAAGGCCTCATAGAACTCTGCTCTTGGTCGGCTCAGAGCCCCTTGCGGACAAAGGCTCCTCTGTTAGGCGCTGGGCCTCCTGACAGATACAGGGGCCTCGACCAGTGTAAATAGTTGGCCACGGCTTATGAGCTGATCGGGAAGTGGGCCCCCAGGCCCGTACCGACACGGAGCCTTCTGTGCAATGCCGCTGGCGCCTGACCGACATTAACACCCATATCGAATCAGGAGAATCGAATCCGATCGGCGCAAAAGCACTCTGAAAGTCATTTTAGGGCCCTTCCCGCAAGCTCGGGCCCCTGTATAAGCCTCCAACCAGCGTTTCGTGCACTGAAGCCACCCAATCGGACCTCTCAACATCGGACCCGGTGGACTCTACAGGCTTTCGGGCCTTTCTCCCCCCCCCCCCCCCCCCCCCCCCCCCCCCACTCTACCTGCGCTACTGGTGGTAGTATGCCGCTGATTTTGTATTCACTGAAAAATGACCGTGGCAAATTTGATGTTTAAAAAGACAGGATTGTTAAATGTTGTTATTGGTCCTTACACTCGTGTCTCAGAAACCTGCATCGTGTATCCTCCTCCATCTGCTGGTCTCCGAAGTGTTCTCTCTCTCTCTCTCTCCCTCTCTCTCTCTCTCTCTCTCTCCCTCTTTCTCTCGTGCATCTTCGTGTGCATCTATGTATTCGCGCGCTCGTATGTGTACTTATATCCGTAGCAATGTTTTGGTCTTCAAAATGTGCCAAATCCGTAGATGTGCCCTTTCAGTATGGGTATCCGTGGGTCTACTCAGCCATAAGGACCTTTGGTTCTTCCGAAATCACGCAAGTCATGTATATTCCTTGGTGAGGCCAATAAGGCCTCTTTGGCAGAGCTACATAACCTTTGGTACAAAGCTGCAATTGTTCGTGGCAGGCTTAAATCAAAGCCAGTTATAGCAGTACCTCGGCCAGGCATATAAGTCAAGGTGTTCACTGTAAGAGTGTATTTTATATCATTCACCAATGTGTTCAGCTGGGAACGCATCTGTCTGAGCCGGATGCAATCACGGATATCATAGTCAGCAATTGAAAGACCAGGCTGTAGATCTCTACTTCTTCCAGAAGGGGAAGGCACCATATCCACCATAACTGTACGGCGAGTACATGTAGTTGGAGTACAGCAGAGCATCCTGTCCCTCCTGATCCTGAGCGGGCGCCTCACGTTTCTTCAGGTAGTGAAGACCAGACCAGCCGTAGTTGTAGGCACCATAACTGTACGGCGAGTACATGTAGTTGGAGTACAGCAGAGCATCCTGTGCCTGCTGGTCCTGGGCGGGCGCTTCACGTTTCTTCAGGTAGTGAAGACCAGACAAACCGTAGTTGTAGGCACCATAACTGTACGGCGAGTACATGTAGCTGGACATCAACAGAGCATCCTGTCCCTCCTGGTCCTGGGCGGGCGCCTCAGGAGCTGAGCGCTTCTTCCTCTGCGAACAATACGAAACATTGGCTGCAACAAAGACCAGCCAGCTAAGCCAGCGGTGGTTGAAGATTCACAGGCGGAAATATTGCGAAACCACATCACTTCGCAGCGCCACTTGCATTGGAAACATAGTTCTTGTTACTACAATTAGAGGAATGATACCTGTTCGCAGGCTGATTAGTTCTTGTTAGCGCCCTCAGGGGAAATATATATGCAACGTAAGTTTAATTCTGCGTCACGCGTCATATTCATGCATCGATGCCCAACTTACCCAGAAAGGACTGATGCCACCGTAGATCCCGCTGTACATGTACGGGCTGGCTGAGAGAATGTACTGTGCCGAGGCGCAGGTCGCCAACCCCAGCAGGAGCGCCTGGAAACAGTTAACATCCGTTCACACAGTCTGGTCCAATATTGCATTGTCACAGTCATCAGAAAAATTTGGAAAAAGTGCACATCCTCTCACGCATTCAGGTCTTGCGTTGTAACGCCACAACCAGCAGAAACGCCTGGAAACAGTATGCATGCGCCAACGCACTGCGGTGTAATTCGCGCCCGGGTGGCCGGTTGAGTGCCCTTCGCTCGAGTGGGGGTCAATTTGATCCCCTTCGCTCCAGTGGGGGTCAATTTGATCCCCTTCCCTTGAGTGTATGTCAATTTGATCCCCTTCGCTTGAGTGGGGGTCAATTTGATCGCTTTCGCTCGAGTGGGGATCAATTTGATCCCCTGAGTCCTCAGACAATAAGAAGTAAGCTAGACACAAAATTCACAAGTTGAGTTGGCCGGTATACGATTTACTTCTGTCAGAATCTTACATTCCTAGGTAATGACCTTATTGTCAAAGAACGTCAAACAAGGTCCAATTTCCCATTGATGCCCAAATTGCCCCTATCCCCCCCCCCCCGTGCAATTCTTGCACTTAAATATATTTTATGCAAGGGGTCTTTGGTTTTATTTAAGGTTTGTGACCTTTATTGACCTTAAGAAAGTCATGACTGCCAAGATCCTACAAGATTGCTTCCTTTTGACTTTTGAAAAAGCATATAGAATTACATTGGGCGGTATGGTCCAAAAGACAAAATATTGACCTCGATCATTTCAGATCAGTGACCTACGTTGGCCTTAAAGGTCTATTGAACAAATTTTACCAGAATATTTCCCATACAGTGAGCTCTCTGGTAAAAGAGCGCATTACTTTTGACGTCGGTCTAACCTTCATACCTGACCCTAGGTCAATAGAATTTTGATTTCATTCTTACTTCAATTGATCTGTTGCCTAAAAAAGTATCTCACAGATGTATGGTTTAGCCTAACACTCTGTTGTTACAAGCTGGTTACAGCACAACTTTCAATACTCGACTTTCCAGAACCTGCCTCATGTGCCTAGCGACGGGCAATAGTGCTTGATGAACACGGAATTGATTAGCTCGAGACGGTTGTGCGTGTAGCAGCCGTAGCATCTTGCTTGCTTTTTTACATGCAATCGAACAGACGACAGCAGCTCATCTGCAGCACAATACACATTGGCAACGCACTGTGGTGTGATCCTGTAGTCACTGCACAATCTATACAGCGTAATGGGCACAATTACCTGCCGATCGGCTTCACTTGAAGCCACAAGCTCGACAATATCGCTACTTATCGAAATATGTTTGTTGTGATGTTTTGTGACGTAAAATGTGACGCCGAGTCTGAATTTCAACCCGTCTGATCTGCCACTTTGCTGCAAATGGTTTTACTTACAATGCACTTCATGTTGACGGCAGTTGTTGCGAGACGGGAGAACTATGTTGCAGTGACGCCAGGCCATACGTTATATATACGTGTTTGTTTGACACGCCCTTTGAATCAGATCTATTGATGCGCTACAAGGCAGCTTTATTTCCAGGCATCAAGGGGCCGGAACCGGATTTACGAGCGGTGCATCGTTTTGAAGCGCGGGCCTGATGTCATCTGCACAAGAAAGCAGTGGCGACTGGTTTGCTATTTGCGGCATGTGGAGGCTCGGAACTTGTATTGGCACTCGCATAACACAATTCTGAGTAGCACACAGGAAGCTCACAGCCGTGTGGATACAGCTTGATTCCAGCATTTCTCCGAAAAGAATGTAATACTTTCTTTAAAGGCTCACAAGGCTCAATAATTGCGTGTTTGCCAGCACTTTGAGGTAAGTGACATCACATCTCGTTTTTCCAATTTGGTTTCCGAATGGCGCGGCGTAGTCGCGCTAAATTTTGCATAGCTGTAGACAATTAAATAGTACATCGTTTGGCATCACCAATTTAGATGTACCCTGCAAGGTCGCTGATCTATGGCAGGTCAAAGTCAGGCCATGGTTTCAGCGAAGGCAATTTCTATGGAATCGTTCAATCTGATAACACAATGGAGTGTTTGACGAAGACATGCATCTCTGAGATACTTTCTTAGGCACCACAAATATTGAATGAGCAAATTACGTTGACGTAAGGTCAGGTATGACGTCAGACCAAGGTCAAAACCGACCCAGTTTGTTACTCTAGGGCTTGCTGTATGGGATATTTTCTGGTGATCATTTCGAATCTATTGACAACAGGAACCGCATTATGCATCTTCAATTGACTTGTTAGAGGTCAGGAAAGGCCATTGACCTAAGATGACCAGTGTCGAACTTTTTGCTTTAGGAACATACTGCCTAGCGTAATCTTTGTCGCTTACTCAAGTGCAAAACTCAGAGCGCTCTTGTAAAATTTTGCTCACCATGACCTTCAAAGGGTCAAACAAGGTCAATGACATCAAATGGGTTTGTCACCTTTTGCTTAGAGACAGTTGCCCAGGTTCTGGAGGCGCTTTAAAGATCAACCTGAAATTTGACCTAGCTTGACCGTATTTAATCTGAAGGTCATGACCTAAGAAGCTGAAACGTTAACCTAAGTGAGTTCACGTATAGGTCAAGGCACCCTGTAAACTTGGTATCTATAGATTTCTTAGTTCCCGAGATCTCAGGGGGTCAAATTGACCCCCTCCCCACCCGAGCGAAGGGTATCTCGCCGGCCAACCGGGCGTGTGTTAACGCATAGTAATTTTATGGCAGTATTATGAGCACAACAAATTATTAACACCAATAATTGGATGCTGCACTTTTCAATTTCTTTCCACAACACTTAAAAAACAAAGCAAAGGAATTCAATAACAAAATGGCAACAGACAAACCAACAAGCATAAAACACTCAAACAAAAAACCTTGGACTTCTACACATCAGCCCGTCACCAAGACAAACACAATAGACATACTTCTGGCTTCTGTTAAGATGGGGTCATGGAAAACAAACATTTTGTTACTGTTTCATACTAAATACCAATGTTTATTTCCATGAAAGTAGCCTATGCCTAACATAGAGGCCTTACATCATCTCATCCTGCATAACCTGTTTGTATCACGGCAGCAGTTGTGAGTTACTAATTCTTGCACAATTCCTATTGCCACCTGCCATGCACTTGACTAACTTAACCTAACTCAGGGTAGCCCATATGATGAGCATCATCTCAACTCACCTATCTGTTGACAGCAGCACTTGTGATAAAAACATGATACCTAAAGCTGGTTTTTGCCTGGTTTCAACTTGCATTTTTATTTAGTTCATTTGTGTATGCTTGTTGACATCAGACAAAGTTGACAAGACACAAATCCGAACATTTTAAATCACTTTGAACAACTTATTCTGATCGTCATGGCTAACCTATGTCAATAACCTATGGCTAACCTATGTAACAAGCGCAATAATGGGTATGCTCCACAAAACAACCTCTCTTCTCCAAAAGTAGCATAACTTTTAGATGACCATGCCAGCATTGCTGGTTGCCTTTTCAGCTGCAGCAAATGCATCCATTTAGGCTTGTTTATTCATATTTTATGACAAAGTTTGAGATGTTTGGCTTCACATGTGAAATGGTCTGACCTGACTATTTCCTTGTGGCATCATAATTAGCCCTATAACAAAACTCGATGGATTAAACAGAAAATTGCCGAGCCTGGTTATCAATCATGTGTTGAAAGGAGGCAAGATAAGCAATTACTTGGTCCACAGGAAAATTACTGGCTTATTCCTGCCCCCTCCCCCAAAAAATCAATACCTTTTGCATGGTCTGCTGGCAGATAGTCATCCCACTCATCCCCAAATATAAATGTCAATCATGCCCGCCAACCTACGATATTAAAATGCGAAGGAAGTAAGAGGTGTGCATGATAGACATCTCTAGAGCGCAGAATTTCGCCATCAAACACCTCAGTATTAGCTGCGCTAGGTCTGTCCCAAGGTCCCTCCTTTTTTCCATTGTTTATGATTTCAATGAATCAAAACAAAATCCCATCTCTGGTCCATGGTAATGTAGCTCAAGAGGTTTGCACTTGTAGGACACAACTTTTTCGTTCATGATTTAAATTTTACGTGAAATATGTGTTAAATTTTCCGTAGAATATATGCCTGAACATACCGTAAAAATTTCCTAATTTTATAACGCCTTGCTGACCAATAAACCCGTGCAAGGTCCTTTGCTCCACTGCACAAGGCGCCAACTGAACTGTCTATAGGAAATATGTCAGTAGTGGAAGAAGAAAAACTCCAGCAGAACACAAAAAACAGATTTCTGGTCGCATGTTCTTTTCTTTAACATTCAGGAGAGTACCGTGCTTTTTTGGCGCCGTACTTTTTTGCAGACAATGGTACTTTTGTTATAACATTGACCTATCGCCTAGAAATAAGGAAAAACGCCCCGTTGACGACGAGTGCCGCACAACCCGAAACTGCTCACGCTTACGTTCGCGACATGCATTTAGTAGTGAAATCTTGCTAACAGCCAATCACCTTCTGCGGATTGTGTCATACGTACCGCATCATTGCCTTTGCGAATGTGTCAGCGCCCACGCTTTTTTGACCATAAGCAGGAACAGCTTGTAATATAACGGCGATCGTATGACGTTTCTATGACGACATCAATGCCAAGGTGACTGAAGTAGTGTCCCAATAAACCTTTTCCTACTTTTGCGGGCGTGAAACTCAGGAACCAGAGGGTATTGGGTCTTAAAAATGGCATAGCTGTGAACTGCATGAAAATGACCTTGAGGTGGCTATTTCGGTTCATAACCCCATATCAAGGTGGAGCACTCCCTTTTAGCCATTCTCGTCAACGGCGGTTGCAAGCTTGGGCGATTGCTACGCCTGCTTCGCGCCCTCGTAGTGCCACCGATGACGTCATCCCTGCTGATGTATTGCCCGTGTCAAAGGCACTTTGGCAGAAGAAGTTATGAGCATGCCGTACGCGTATAGGAATGGGCAATGTAATGAGTTCGCCGTACAAGACGCAGTTGCAGCAGAGGTGCAGAAAGGGGAGGAGCCCAGGTTTATCCCACTAAAGTTAGGTGCTGAAGCTGTGTGGGTTGGATCAGCACGCGTTGTGTTTCACATTTGAGTTGTATTTCAAAAGCCTAATCAAATATAAGAAGCAATTTAACTGCTTTTTCCTTAATGTTTGTTACGAGTGGAGGCAAACTGAGTCCAAGACGTTGATTTTGGGGACAAATTCCCTCAAAGGAATTGTCCTGGTTTTAAGAACTCTTTGAACTTTTCTTCCGCTTGCCCAGAGGAATATTCTAGAACAAACTTTCCTGTGGAAAGGATTTCTATATTTCTCTCAAAGTTCGGATTTGGTCGACTTTTGTCCGTTTTTGCCACTTTGGAGGTCCCTGTTCCGTTGACCCGATCCCTTGGATCCGCGAGTGAGTGCAGTGACTGCCCGTTATGCCCGTTATGTGATGTTGACAATTTTTTCCCGCTAGCAAACCTGTCTTACCCCAGCGGGTGGGGCAAGACGGTTTTTTACAACCCGTCGGTGAAACTCTTGGTATTGTACGGGTAAGAGATCACCCAATTCTCTTTTGCACCACAATATAAAGATGTTGACCCTGTAAGACGTTACAATATCTATTGGTTTTCATTGACACGTTTATAATCAATCGTTTGAGCATGCCCCACTTTCCCCTATATCCGTCTTTGTCATGTGTGCTAACTTTGTGTTAACAGCAGCGGCCATGCTTAGGGGCATAGTAAGAAGACCTCTCAGTTTCGGTAGCTTTGCGAAACATTTTTGTCAGCAGTGGCGTTTCTATATATACCGGAATATATACCCCCATTGATATGGTGTCATTAAATGCATCGCCACACATATACCCCTCTTGATATGGTGTAATGTAGTGCATTACCACTCAAGCGTCATTTTAGATTGTGCAGTGCAGAGGCGTGAGCACAACCATTTTTGTTGCCAACTTCATTAAGTTGCAACGTTCTATCCCTCTATAAGTCTATAGATAAGATAAATCCATAGCCATTTGGTCTGGTCGTGCTTGAACAGAAGCATCGAAAGCCGTAGGTAAAAGACGGTAGCTGATGTCAGATGGTCTATTGATGACAGGAATGCTCATTCACAAACCAACATTATGCGGTTCGAACGAAGCCATTGGTGGTGTGATGATGCACAGTAGGATGATTACTTAGTGCCGGGGGCGTTGGCCAGGTTGACGTGATGGCTGGCTCCGGCGTACGGCAGGGGGGCCACGTGCTTGGCTCCCGGGGTGACGGCCACGTAACCGGGATGGGCGTAGTTCACCTGGGAACGAACAGACGATTGTCGGTAATATGACCACCTTGCGGTTATATAAAAGTTCTCCGTTCAGTTTGGCCTCTGAACCATTTTATACTTCGCTGACAAACATTGCTACAGTG